TAGAATCTACACTATACCAGGATGCTTCCACATAAGTTTCAGCTTTTCTGGCCCAGTGGTTCTTGAGAAGAAGATTTTCAAAGATTTTTCCTATATATTTCTATATAAAACTTTGATTCCCCATTGTGGCCCCGCACTTCCCCCGGGGGTCATGATTTGAACAATTTAGAATCTACACTATACCAGGATGCTTCCACATAAGTTTCAGCTTTACTGGCCCAGTGGTTCTTGAGAAGAAGATTTTTTAATGACCCCACCCTATTTTTGTCTTTTCTTGATTATCTCCCCTTGCGAGGGGATATGTCCCTTCATTTTAACAATTTAAATTTCCCTTTACCCAAGGATGCTTTGTACCAAGTTTGGTCAAAATTGGCCCAGTGGTTCTGGAGAAGAAGTCGAGAATGTGAAAAGTTTACAGACAGACGGACGGACGGACGACGGACAAAATGTGATCAGAAAAGCTCACTTGAGCCTTCGGCTCAGGTGAGCTAAAAAAAGGGACGGAAAACAAAGATATTATTTACCACAACCTTAGATCTGTCCATACCTATGTGTGAATCTTTGCTTGAGGGTATGTAAAGAGGGGGGGGGGGGGGTAGGGTTAGAAGGACACAACCCTGGAACCCCCCCTTTCAAAAATTGCTGGATCCGCCCCTGCAGTATATTATTTCTATAAATTAATTATGTTTGTTTACATACTAATGCATCATATCTGACTAAAATTCTTGCATGTAAAGATATAAATTATAAAAACACTTAATATATTCCTGGTTTTTCTTTGATCTGTTCAGTGGTTAGGCAAATTACATTCAAATATACAAACCATATATGGCTATCATCAACTACAAGCAAAATGAAACATTAATATTAACATCAAACTAATATATAAAAAACTCTTGAATAAATATCTTTATAACAAAGTTAAATTGTAGCATTTTTCTTTACACTGTACTTTAAAAACCAAACTTCAGTTTAAATACAGCATGGTGGGAGGTCAAAGTTAAGAGCCCTGAAAAAAATAATTTGAAATGATTAGTTGATCAAACACATCACACATGTTCAGGTACAAGACATTCATTTACAAACATTCTCATATAAAAGGTGCATTTGTCTGGTGCATGATTAAAATGATACTCCCAAAAACTCTCCTGTCTGAGAAGGTAAGAAGTTTCCTAATGACCTTCAATATTTGACCTTGACTTGACAGTTTACACAGGGTAACTGATCACCATGCAGGAGTTGTCACTAATCCGACTAAATATTCCAATACCCAAATCAGACACAATGAAATCTCCTCTCTCTGTCTTTCTCAATTATCAAGCACGTACATATAAACTTTCAGTATCAAATAAATCAAGGTTCAAGAATTCATTTCACAAAGACATCCTTGAGAAACCTTACTCCTTGCAATAATCATTTTGAAAAGCTTTTTTGTATTGTGTACAAATCTAAATACCCCTTTTTTCAATTCTAGACAAGAAAGTAGTCTCCATGTGGAATTAAGTAACCCTGAAACTCTTAATACTTAGTGTGAACGCACAACCCTATACAATTAATCAACATGCTCTATGTCTCACTATCATATCACATATTATTCAAAGGCTCCATTTTCAATGTGACATAATACATCTTAAACAAGGTTTGAATTTCTCTAGATGTGTAACAGTTCTTGTTATTATTTCATGCACATTTAAAATTCAGAAGAAAATAATATTTTAATATACAATTGCTTAGAGACACCAGAATCTTTACCTGAATAAACTTAGGTTTGGATGAGAAAATTTGCCTAAGCAGGATTTTGCATATAAGTTGCTACAGACATGTACCCCTTTCAGTTTGTTCAGGTCTGATCTGGAGGTCTAAAAGAGCGAATTCCATAAAAAAGAATACTTTTTCCTTCTTATACTTTTATCTTAATTGTTGAATTTTTATTAATTTCATCATAAGTGTAAGTGTCACTTTGTAATCAACATTAATTTCTTTTGAGATATTACCCTATTCCAAACAGTTTAAGTATCATATGGAAACTGTTACGACAGTGTACTTCAGTTCAGCAAATGACTAAGAGGTCAGAGCTAAAATACTTTATTTAATACCAATGCCCTTACATTTCTCCAAACCACTGGAGCCGTATTCAGTTTTGGGATATATGTTGGTCTGTTTGTACACCACAGAATTGGGAAAATTCTGGACCTTTGATTCTTATGACTTTCAGTTTAAGTATACCAAGGTTAATATATTATGATACCTTAATCATAACCAAAGGCCACTTCCCAATGGTCAAGGTCATTACACAAGAGATATGGAGCAGTTTCTTGTCTATTTTTGAGATTTTGAGTCAATTTTAACTTTCAGATATGCTATTTCTACTCTTGACCTAAAAATGAGCTAACTTGTGAAACTACTTTTTTTTTTAGTTTTCTATAGGGAATCAAGCAATGCCCTTGACCCAGTTTTCCTTTATGCAAAATGACCCCCTTAATCTCAGCAATTGCTGTAAGGAGTAGAAACCAATGTAGGACAGATACACACAAGGGTAATACATTTTACTTATCCCCAATTCACTCATTCCCCCTCCTCTTTATCAATGGCATAGAGATATGAATAACTTTGTGAAGTGGAAACCTGCACAATATCCACTTTCTGTGTCAGTGCAAAAAATAAAAGTCAAGAGCACAATACATAAAGAACTAGGTAAAATAAAATCCCACAGATTACCCAACATGTACATATATTGGCATCATAAAACCTGAATCAAACAACAATTGATCATCATGAGGTCAAAGGTTATCTCTGAAATAAAACACTTTAGATCAGTGTAGTGAAAACAAATAAGCATTTCAACAATGAATGACATGTTTTTACACCAAGATTAAAAGCATATGTAAGCATTAAATTCACAGCAGTCCCAATCCGTACCACACCAGCAATCAAACTGCATTATCTGTCAAAATAATGCATATTCTTTACCCATGCATTATTATTTTTTATTGTTGTTTTCCATGCAAACATCAACATAGAAATATCTACTGATATCAGATAAATGACACCTCTACAAATGGTAGGTGACAAGTCTCCATACAATGTTCCTTGTGATTCATACACAATTTAGGGTTACCACCCAGTTATATGGGATACATGTGCTATACCTGTCAGGCAATTTAACTTCCCCACCCTAAAAAATATGACATTCATCAGAAAAGTGAAACTTTCCATGGTCCACAGTTCAAAGGCACCAAAGAAGCTCAAAAGGACTGGGATATTATCAGAGAGCTGAGAAATTTGTAAGATACTATAACACATGGTATACAGGTGTCTAGGCTTAGCAAAAAGTAAATCCATGCATGTCTTTAGGGTGGTATCAGCTTGATTAATAAGCTTTTAATCAGTGCTTGAAAAATGAATTTTGATAAGCCAATGCTTTAAAAAAAATCTTTGCTTGGGACTCATCATTTACACTTACATGTATAAACTAAAAAAAAATTTCACAAATATGGTGTGGCTATCATTTACAAAGTTTTATGAAAATTTAATGTTTTTTTTTTTTTTAAATCAAATAAATGTATATAGGTACTATATATCTCTTTTTCTCCAAAAAATATTTTACTTTCTTAGATTCCTCAAGTTTCCTTTTCAACAGGATCTTGCACAGCTTGAAAAGATTACTTTGCTGAAATGACTTTTTCTAATTTTTTAATACTGCAGGTGTTTTGACTTTCCAAACAGAAAACAGAACCAAGTACCCCTCAATTTATCTTTCATAAAAACAGTGAGTTCCTTTCATAATGATATAAATCAGAAACTTAAAAGTTTAATAAATCAACTTGATTTCTTCAATCCCAGCAGGCCTCTTTAAAGAGGTGCGCTAAATAAAGACTTAATGGTTTTGTTTCTTGTTTTCTTGCAAATATTTAAACATGGCCATAACACTTATTAATATTTACTTCAACAGTGTAAATCCCTCAAACTAATCAAGCAAAGGGATTTTTCACAGGTCAGCATGATCTCATTGTTTGTCGGAAATCTTGTCTCTTGTCAGTTTCGTGCAGGTCATCCTATTCAAAGCCGCATGTACCAAAGGAGAAAGTTTGGATCACGTTTCTTATCTGCGCCGACTTGCCAATGACAAACTTGTTTCTTTATCAGTCGTTTTGTCTTGCACTACATGTTCCATATCAACCTGATTTAGTAATAAAAATCGTCAAAAGCTTGTTTGTTTACACAATGGCTTCATTGATTTATACAATCTTACAGGTGTCCCCTATCTGTAAAAAGAAAACATTGACCAAGAATTTGTTAGATTTCACCTAAATCTAATTTGTAATCTCACTTAAAAAAATAAGGGTACACAAATAAAGACACAGCAGCAGTAATGTTAGGGTGAACACACAAAAGCATGTCCTGTTTTACACCTGATGATAAAAGGCCGTTTTTATTATTTGATCACTAACTTGATACAGTAAAATTGAAATTACCACACACCCTGATATCAAACTTTATTTACTCTTTTTTTCAAAAAGCCTTACAGCTAAACAGGAAGAATCGAGCAAACTGTCCCGATTACAAAACACTAGACCCCCATCAACACTGCACCATCGTGTATCCAGTATTAGGATGCCTGTTTACTCTATGACTAATACAACTTTATATACTTTATGATATAGAGCCATTAGCGATTGCTCAGCAATTTCATTCAGTCAGGGCTACCCTGGGTAACTCTAGTACCCCTTAGTGTGCTTCTAGTGGTACATGGGGGTGCACTCTTAAAATAACATAATACAGTTTATCTACCAGTCCCCAGAACCATTCCGCCTATTCATGGCCCAAGTGGAGTGCACCACCCAGGCTGATATTCTTAACCTTTGTATAAAGTACACAAAACATCCGTCACCCCTTGTCATATGGGTATACACCATTTTGTTAATATGGATAACATCCAACTACAGTGGGGGGATTTCTGAATGGCAATCAAAACATAAAAATCTCCTTCACAATGCTGGTTAGTTTTTGCTTGCTTTATTTTTTTCTATTTCTAGTACAAACATTACTATAAGTGCATCATCATTCATAGTAAAGTAGATAAATCATATCTGTATTAAAATGTTTGTATGTACTTCGTTTCGACCGATTGTTCATAGCATACATAGGCTAGGTAGATTTAAATTGAAGCATTTAACCTTTTTTCCTTTATCTACATTATTTCTTATCAGAAGTAATGTACCATTAAACAATTAACATTTCATTTTTCAATGATTTTTTTTCTGAAGGATTATCCAAGTCGGCAAACACCACCAAAATGGAATTCACAATAGAACCATCCTTGTGGTAGCTCCTGCAAGTTATTCCATGGAGTGAGAATATTCACTTTCACTATTTTGATAAATTTGTAATAAATAAATCCTACAGACAAAAGATGATCCAAGTTAAAATTCCTTAGTCAAACTCACTACACAGTTGTCTTATTTGGGTCGTTTGTATCCACCTTTTGCTTTCTTTTTTGCAGACCCTTTCTGATCTTCTTGCTGAAAATGAGGAAATCACTCCAAGTAAACCAATACAAGTACATCAACTGAAACCTCTCAAAATTTAATAAAATTTCCAAAAAAAAAAAAAAAAAATTCTAACTTCCTTGGTAATTGTGGAGAATGCAGACTTTATAAAAAAATATTGTGTAAATTCACATCATCATCAAATAAGTTAATTTTACTTGTAACATGTCATTTGATTGGATAAAAGATTTTATCCACTTTGTATAACATAACTTGCCTACATCACAATGAGTTATGTTCAAAAAACATATTAATCCGCATGACATTACTTTAAAAATTTAATCAATGTAAAGTCTTATTCTGGGGGAAAATTGTCTCATTGTCTGCACTGAAATTAAATTATAAGTAATAAAGCTTATTTCAACTTATATTATACGATATAACAAAACTTGGGGCAGTTTACGCTTTTTTATAAACTGCTTCGTGGTTTATATAGCATAAACTGCCCCAAATTATGTTATATCATATAATATAAGTTGAAATAAGCTTCATTTTCTAATTAAATTAATAAGATAACAAAATTCATCTTTGTTAAATACTTATAACTTAGGGACCAGACTACAGATTATATCTGGTTCATTCAATATACCCACCTTTCTCTTTGTTGTTGATGTTGAGACAACATTGAAAAAGGAATCGAGCCGTCCCTGTGTTGTTCCTTGTTTGGCTTTCTGTAACTTCTTAATACCATTTCTTATTCTGTCCTCACTGTCAAAAAATGTCATTTAAAATATACTCACATCCAAATCAATAAATAGGTACTGTTTGAAGGTAGACAACTCTTAAGGAAATAGAAAAGTGAAATGTCTATTAAATCTCACCTGAAATTTTTCTTGTTTACCATGAAGTCAATCAATCCTTCTTCGTCCGGCTCTGACCATTTAATCTAAAATCAAAGCAAAACCTAAAACTAAGGGGAAACCAAAAAAAAAAAAATCTTTTCTTTCCATGCACCTTTAATGCAGATAATACATTGTAATGCAACATAATTACTTAAAGTCAAAGAACTTTTTCTTCTAATGTAAAATTCTTCATACTTTCAGATCAACTCTCAGATTCAAGATACACATTATATAAGACTATGTGCCTATAAAATAAAATGTCCAATATCTTTACAAGATCCAAATCATATTTTCAATTTCTCCCGTTTAAAAATAAAGTTGAACACATTTAAACTAGTGACCCCTCCTTTAATTTTCTTACATCTAGTTCTTCAGGGTCAGCCACTTCTGGTTCCTGAAACAATTTCCTGGCCTCCTGTTAAAACAAGATTTCATTTAGAATTCTTTCCAAGTCCAAGAGACAGGTTTTACATGTAAAGAACTACAAACCATTTCTCCTAAGAAAAAACATAGGTAATCAAAGATTACCAAGCTCACCTCGACGAATGTTATCAGTTTAAGTAATGCAAATCTCACATCATATTTTCTTAATATTTAGTATTCATCCCAACAACAATATTCTTGTAAGTTGTGTTTAACCCCTTACATGGCATACACACATTTCTACACGTGTTGCGTGAAAAACGTGTAGTGTAAATAAATATTCATAACTTTGTTAATACTGCAGTAATCAAGGACTTCCAAGTTCATTCGGATTGATCTGTTCCCAAAACTTTAACCTGGTCTCTTGTATGGAAAATATAGATCAGATCTAGCATCCGAAACAAGTCTGATAGTGTCCATCCTTAGATGCATCATCCATGCAAGTTTGGTTCAGGTAGGACTTACAGTTACTTGGGAATGAAAATGTAGGTCAGATCCAGCATATATGTCCATCCCTAGATGCATCATCCATGCAAGTTTGGTCCAAATAGAGCTTATAGTTCCTGTTGAATGGACCTGCTCCAAAAACTTTAACCTCGACATTCATCTGGAAAATTAAGGTCAGATCCAGCATCCGAAGCAAGTCTGGTAGTGTCCTTTTCTAGATGCATCATCCATGCAAGTTTGGTCCAGGTAGGGCTTATAGTTCCTTAGGAATATACCTGCTCTAAAAACTTTAACCTGGTCATTCATCTGGAAAATGTAGGTCAGATCCAGCATCCTAAGCAAGTCTGGTAGTGTACATCCCTAGATGCATCATCCATGCAAGTTTGGTCTGGGTAGGGCTTATAATTCCTTGGGAATGGACCTGCTCCAAAAACTTTAACCTGCTTCAAAAACTTTAACCTGGTCACTCATCTAGAAAATGTAGGTCGGACCCAGCATCTGAAGCAAGTCTATTAGTGTCCATCCCTAGATGCATCATCAATGCAAATTTGGTCTGGGTAGGGCTTATAGTTCCTTGGGAATGGACCTGCTCCAAAAACTTTAACCTGCTCCAAAAACTTTAACCTGGTCACTCATCTAGAAAATGTAGGTCAGATCCAGCATCCAAAGCAAGTCTGGTAGTGTACATCCCTAGATGCATAATCCATGCAAGTTTGGTTCAGGTAGGGTTTATAGTTACTTGGGAATGGACTTGCTCCTAAAACTTTAACCTGGGACACCGACGCCGATGCCAACGCCGGGGGTATAGCATAAGCTCATCTCGACTTCGTCGAGGTGAGCTAAAATGGAAACCAAAATGATTTCTCTTACCTTGTACATCCAGTCTTCAGGAACTGTGTATTTCTGTACAAGAAAAAGGTTTTTTTTAATAATGAATCTTTTAAAAGAAGCCTTTAGTTTTTCTATATTGTACTTTATATGTAATACATTGTTTCAAGGTTTACAAATCTTCTAAAGTTTAAAATTTTGAGTTTTGTTTATGTTTTACACTTTATGTGACACTGACCTTGGAGTCTAAATGTTTGAGTATTTCATCTATAGACTTGTGCTGTTTGATGAGATCTATAGCTCTCTTTGGGCCAATACCTCTTATTGAATCACAGTAGTCGCAGCCCAGTAAAATACACAGATCAATGAACTGTACAAAAAAAATAATCATATATGTACAATTCATATGTTCATAACTCTTTCAACATATAACTAAAATGTTTAAACTGAACTTTCTTAGTTTTTACGTTGCTGTCAGAATTTTTTAAAGCTTTGGTACACAGAATATTATTTTTAATTAATATAAATAATTCACCTCGTCTTTATTTAGTCCTAATTCTTCAAGCACTCTGTTGTAGTGATACTCTTTGATTGGTAATTTTCTAAAAATAAATAAGACGAAAGCTTAAAAATACAACACCTCAATTATAATAACAAAAGAAAATCAGAAAAAGAAACTTGCATGAAGAAATAAGAACATGAAACTCCCTTAACACAACTCAAAAATAATAATGCAAAACTTCAAAGAGATCAATGATGATAAAGTCCTATCTGGTCCTGAAGGGAAAAATTCTGTTTAGCAGTAAAAAAGAAATATCAAAACATACTGTAAATCACGTTTTATTTGCAAGAACTTTATTTTCGCTTGATTACGCAAGATGATATGCTTGCGAAAATTTCATTCTCACATATAATAGAATTCCTTAAGGTTATATAGAGCATTGACGACAATTCGTGATGATTTTGTCTCACTAATAAAGAGTCAATGACTATCTCGTGAAAATAAAGTGTCGCGAAAATTAAGTAATCTACAGTAGACCAATTCATACCTGGCCTCAGCAACAGTCAGGTTCCTTAACAGAACAGTGGTACCAAATGTGAGAGCATCCATATCTTCTGTCCCTGTGGCGTAAATCTTACCGGCCTTCACTAAGGCAGCACACTGGGCCTCCGCCTCACCCGGGGCCTGTCAGCAAAATAGACAATTACAGAAAATTCTTCAACACCTCAAAACTGCTTCATTATCACTGAGTAGCTAAGAAGAACTTCAAAAGAACATCCTATTACCTATGATGATACCATTTGTTACATGTACAATCAAGTTCTCAATGCTGTAAAAGGTAATTATATACAGCAGTATTTACTTACATCAATATATGGAATTCCCATATATTTCAACAGTTCCTTGCAATCTTCATTATGCTGTTTGGAAACTTTTACCAATCTTCTGTTGAATTTTTCAATGTTTTCTTCATCACCTGTTCAAAACAAGAGATGTTTGTGAAACATTTATCTCATTCTAAATGATCAAAGAGGGAAGATTATCAGAATTGACCATTATGAGCAGATTAAATTATTCCTCTCTGAACAACTTAAAGATCAAAAGTCAAGTCCAAAGTCAATCCTGTACAAGTTATAATGTTGGTATCTGAAATACATCATCCTGTTTTACTCATGTGTGGCTTCACATACCAGCTTCCTCTGCTTTTTCTAATTGTTTCTGTGCCTCTTCTCTCCTTTCCTTTCGTTTTGCAAGCTATTAGAAAAAGACAATAGTTTTTATTTTTTTCTAAAACAACTAATACTCACATCCAATATTGACAGCTGAATCAAATATGGATTTTGAGTGAACAGAATTTCTGTACTTCATTTGACATTCGTGTTGTACATAACAGTACAACTCTCAAAGGGCTTTAATACCTAACCTCATTAATATATGTCCACTATTGGGCCATCAAATAACAAACCTATGAAGAATATACTTATTTTTTCCTATTAGAAATTATTTAATACATACTAGTATTTCATTACACACATGAAATAAAGTTAAAATACAAAGGAAAATACAAGTACAAGGACCAACCTAGGGGGCGACTGAGGCGAAATAGTCGCTTTTGGGCTCCAAACTTCGCCGTAATTTATCATGAAAGCGAAGTTTAAGTCGCCTTAACATTTGCAAACCCTTTATTGAAAATCATAAAAAATCTATTAAGAAACATGGTAGAATCGTCAGTATTGTATAAATCTGGTTTTATTACTGCTGAAATAAACGAAACAGCAGGACACTTGCACCTGTTTCGCTACCGATGACCAATGCGTCGAATACTCTGTCGGAACTCCTCTAGATTTTACCCTTCCAGGTATGAAAAAGTCCATAGTTACAAGTTATGCACAACCAGATGCAAAACAGCTGGTCAACTATCAATGTCATGCCAAAGATGTTGAAGAGGATTTTAGATCTTTTTATTGTTAAATAATTAATTCATGCTGTGAATACAGACATATTTTTACTGTTATATTGTGGAGTTATTGACCGTCTAAAGAAATTACACATCTGATACACAGAGTTCAATCAGCATGCGTATGTAGTACATCATAACTTTTTTCAGAAAAAAAAAAATAAATATTGAAAACAAATTTTGAAGAGAAAATAACAAAATTATGACTATGCATTGAGGTTGAAAATTTAAAATGTGATAGAATTTAAAAGTTAATTGTGCATATAATGCAAGAAATAAAAGGAAAAAAAACTTAATTTACATTGTCATTGGATTTTTTTTTTTTTTGCTAGATATACCTTGTAATTGGAAACAAAAATTCAGATTCTCAATTATTTTCTTTTTTTTAAATTATTTTTACTAGGATGTCAATACAAAAAAAATATTGAAATGTATTTTAAGTTATAAACAAAGAAATAGTTTCATTTTTAAAAAGTTTATAATGATCAATGGGCGTCACGCGTGCCAAGAAGTCTCCCTAAATTTCAAAACTTCTTCCTAAATTTCCCTGAGGGAGAAGTGAAGTCTCCCTAAATTTTGGGTCTAGGTTGGTCCCTGCAAGTATACAACTCTGATATTTTTTTACCTCCCCTGATTTCATTTCTGGTGGTTTACCATCAAATACATAGACTGGTTTGATACCATTCTCTACCATACGAATGGTTCTGTAGAACATTCCCATCAAATGGCTGAAAGAGAGAAGTCAGAATTATGTAAGAGATATTTTATCTACCTCTGCTGGGGATTGAACCTGAGGCCTCTGGCTTGCCAGTCAGGAGCTGTACAGATTGAGCAAAAGGGTTAACCCACTAGCCCAAGCTAGTAGGATGCTGTGTATCTTACACTACTACTTTTCATACCTGTCAACATGGCCAAATTTTTTGGGGGGAGAAAACACGCAAAGACCTTTTGCAAATACCAAAAGTCGCACATTTCACTGCTTTACAGAACAAAAATAAACAACTTACAAGATAAGACTTTATTATGATATAAACATTATCATTAATTCATAAAATTTACTGTTTATTCATACATTGTTTAGAAACTTGTACAATGTAATTTAATTTTGAAATTATAAAAAAAAATATGTTCACTGTCTAGCTATTCTGCCTGTCCATAAGAGCATCATTTATTTAATATTCATGGCAAATGTTGTAGTTTAACTTGGCAATTAGAAAAATTAGTAAGGTTCTGCAGATTTCTGATTTTCAAGCTTTTAATAGATGTATGAATGGATTTTTCTCACTAGGTCTAAGGAACATGAGTTGTGTCCTGAATTTAAAGATCTGAAATAATTGTCAAAACTTCATGCTTATATTCTTAAAATAATGTGTAATCTAGTATGAATGAAATACATGGACCCTGTATTTTTTCTTTTAAGCTCATAACATATATCAGAATTTTTAAATATAATACTTTATTTTGAAATGTTCTAATGTGCTAATTTTAATTTAGAAATGTATTACCCAGTTTAGCTTTTTAAATTTAAAGAACTCTTCTAAAGACACCGTCTTGTTGCTCTGTAGTTTCAGGGGCACACGGTGTTACAAATTTACTAAGACATTGAATCTCAAAATCTGTGGGGAAATCTTCAGACTCTTCATTTATATTAGCTTCCATTGTTCCCCTCTCCTTGTTGAATTAATGATAGGGTACTGTAGCTACATCTTTCCTGATCACTGTATTGTTTATGGAGAAACAGTTTTGTCTTAGGCACTTGTAAACTTATATGCAGCAAAGTATCAAGTACTTCCATATTGTTATTTACCGATATGTATGTGTAAAAATTTTCACATATATGATATATATGTCAGATATATACACTTTTAAAATTATTTCAATTACAACTGCAATTACATCTGCTAGCACAGTTTTTCTTTTAATTTTTTTCTTTCATTATTTTTTATTTAACAAAATAAATTAATAAAAAAAACACTGCATGACCTCCATTTTTGTGTTGACTAGTCAAAGTATTTTACGAACCAAAGTAGGTAAAAAATTCTAATTTTTTAAAATCGGTAAAAAAGACATTTAAAAAAAATTCGGTAGACAGTCGGTAGGGATGGTTAAAAATCGGTAGACTCCCGATAAATTCGGGAGAGTTGACAGGTATGACTTTTACAAAATGCATCTCAAAGTTCTTATTTATTAGTTTTTATTTATTAAAAAAAGAAATCAAGTTTCAGCAATTAATTTTACTTATAGTCACCTTGTAGTTTCTCCATCTTCACTCATCAAGTTACTTCCATCTTGTCTTACAGCAATAAGAAACTGGTAAATGCAGGTAAATTTATAAATGTATAACGCATGAAAAAAAAAAAATACTTTTCAATTTATATTTTATTCCAAACGATTTTTTTTTCAAATTTAATTTGGGGGTGAGTTTTTAACTCCATCTGGTTGTCAATTTATACATAAAAAAATGTATTAGTGTCATGTGGAAACCCATGACCGCAAATGAACTCATCTAAGTGACATTACGTTGCATGTTAGCTTATTTTTTTAAAAACAATAAAACTGAATAGACAAGTCACCGAAAGACGTGTGTACATCATTGACAGAAAATATAAAATGTGGAAATTAAAAAAAATATTTAGAGAAATTTATGTATGTGAATTTAAAAATTTTTATTCATTTCAACATCTTTTATGTTACACTGGTAAATCAAAAACCTCACCCAATATTGCCGACCTTTGACCTTGCTTGGATTCACAAGAAGCAATATATACATTTGCGTAAGACCAACAATCATTATGATGGATATACAAAAAAAGAAAAAACACACAATTTTTATATACAGTTTGATTTAAATGTTTATTATATCTGAAAAAAAACACAACATCTAACAATTATTTTATATGAATTTTATCAAAATATATGTCGGTGAATGCCAGTAATGGGCGAATTTCATTTTGTCGGTGACCTGTCTCTCGGAGAGGTGTTGGCACCGGAACATGTCAATTTCGGATAATTATTTCCACTTTACAATGGTGCATAATTTGATATGAAGGAAAATTATAAAATAATTATTTAAATGGAAAAAAATTAAATTCAATGATTTTTAATTTATATACATAATTTTTACCAAAAAATGGTAACATTTCTCAAGTTTACATCATTTTATTTTGAAAGATATTTTTTCTCTTTCCTGTAAGTTGTAGCAACAATCAATCTGTTTTTTTTTTTTCCTTCAATCATTTGCAGGCAATCAATCAATTTAACACACGCAATTTTAGACTTTTATACTCTTTAATCATTTATTTACTCTGTGTTATGCTGCAGACCAGGAGCCTGTAAGAAGTTACATAAATTAAACATATATAAAGCCAAAGAAGCTGCAAATACACAGCTCTCTGATAAAAATTGGGATCATATTTAATCTTCACTTTTTAGGAACTGTGCGACTTTTTGTATTCACAAAATGTATATGACTTTTTCAGTTTTTGTATTCACAAAATGCAGTATATGCTTGATCCCCAAAGAGATTTTTTTTTTTCCTGTTTTAATAGATATGAAATCGCAAACCTTTTTTATATAGAGAACACCTTCAATATACCTTAATCTAACTTCACAGACAAAGAAAGAAATAACATCTAATTTTCCATGTTATTTGGTTTTAATCATCCTTTTAATACAACATTGCATATTTTGTAAATGCTTGATATCTGAGATCTATATTCTCTTGAGAAATATACTAGATCTACCTTTGTTTAAAAATTACTTGAAGAACATTTTAATTTAGTGTGTTCAAGTACAACAAAATGCACCTTTGAAACATAATACTTTCAAAATATGGCTGATTGAATGAATACCCGATTGAATAACTCATTTTATCGGGAAATACCACTATACTTTACCAAAATAATTCTTGAATTCATTTTCTTTCATAGCAGACGGGGCATAATCGCCAAGTAATTTGGATAAACCTAAAATTCCCATGTTTGCAGCGATTTGTTTACTTTTTTCTGCTGACCACACGGTTTACCCGCCAAATTATTTTTATCACATGTAAAGCTAGCGGTGAAGTTATTTTCTCATATATCTACAATTTTAACGAGTTATCGAATATCTCTCACATATCATAATATGTCAAGCACTTTTTTAAACCTGTGTATTTAGAGATACTTTATTTTACTTCCTAAAAATTTTGATTGTTAATACTACGAAAATGATTATAGAAATAACATTTTAAAGATGGCGGATTTGAGGAAACTCGGGTTCATTGGGACTATTGGAGATGACGAAGAAATATCAGTCGAACCAGAAAGTTCCGAGAGTGAAAACGATGAAATTCAGGTGACTTGAGTCGATATTACTGAATTAATATATATGTTGAAAATCTCACGGTATTTTAGCACGAGAACAGCCCAGCAAGAATATGGTCATACCCACGTGTTTTTGTTTACATCTGAGGAATCTTATATATTTGGTTGATACAGTTTAATCTAATTATTTTCGCCATGATGTAATTCGAGAAGTTGAATGAAAAAACGTAAAGCAATGGGGATCTACTGATCTGTAGCTATTAAAAAAAAAAAAAAAATGGGATGGACAACCAGACAGAAGACATGGCAAGAAATTGGCACTGAACCAAGTACCACTTTTATTGCCATATATGTCATAGAACAAAGGTGCCACCCATTGAACACAGTGTTGTATTTGTGGCAGTCAGTCGGGTTCAATTCCTGGTGGCCGGATACCTCAGTTGGTACAAATGCAAAAAGTGCATTTTTTTTCTATTAATTTCCATATGTAGAAACTGCAACCTCAAAATATTAATTACTAATGGAGTGTTCCTAATGTAGGAATTTAATTGGTTAGATGTGTACTCTACTCTATAGTCAATAACTAGTTCAGTGGTTTGTAATTCCTGTGTGTGTCCCGTATGTTCACTCATTCCTCCTTTCCATACAACACTTATGTAGAAATTTTAGCTGGACTGTCTGTCTAGTGTCATGGGCCTATATGTTGTGTGTAATTGTAATATTTGCAGGTTTTTGACGTCTTATTTCAACATATGTTTGTCATTAGATATGCATTTATCAATTTTCATTTTATGTTTTACCACTGGCTACAAATCCGGCTAAAATAATAGCCACGGTCCTTTAACTACATAGAAAAAAATTCTACAGGAAATAAAGCTTTGGTGTGATGTCCCGGTTTATTAGAATTCTCTTTTTGTAGTCTCTTTATATTGACAGCTACCTGAACATTTTTTAAGCTTATCTTTAATGTTTTGTTTTCTTTGTGATTTTTATAGACAGCAAAGAAACAGAAAAAGAAGAAAAAAGCAAAGACTAATGACAGTGAATTTAATACAAAGTTCAGTTTTACTGACCAGGTACTTATGCATTTCTGACTTTCACTTTAACTTAAGTAATGGATAAGCAATTTATTATTTATAAGCAGGAATGAAAAATATCTGCAACTTTGTTTATTTGTGTTAATTACCTTAAGCAATACATATATATAATATGTTTTACGGTGTGACCGTTGGGGCGAGCGCAGTTGTACTTTCAAAACACTGTAAAAAATTGATCAGCTATTCACACAAAGTCGCATGACATCTCACAGTTGTGATGTCATTACGCACGGAGCTCGTTGGAGTAATTAAAGGCATCTGGTTTAAACTATAGACCTAGAGCAATTTTGGTCGAAAAACATTGCAGAGTTATTTTTTGTTTCCATACCGATATATTACAAACTGAAAGCCTTTTATGCTTTACGTTATTAACACATTTATTTATTTATTTGCTCAGGACATTGGGTTTGATCGCCAGTGGCAGAATAGCTCAGTTGGTAATGCAAAGAGTGCATTGTTTTTTAATATAAAATTTTCTCAATGTTTCTCTGTATGTTAAAACTGCAATCTCAAAATATTATGCCAAAATGTAGTGTTCCTTATGTAGAAATTTTAGCTGGACTGAGGACAGCGGCCTGGATAGCTCAGTGGTTATAGAGCACCTGACTAGTAATGCAGGAGTCCCGGGTTTGATTCCTCGTTCAGCCATATGTTTTTTGATTATAATTTATATATGCATTTATGAATTTTCAATGTATGTTTACTCATTCCTTCTTTCTATATTAAGATAACATATACCATTTTAAATTTTAATTAATTTAATGTCAAAATATATAATAGAAAAAAATTCTGCAGCAAAAAGAAGAGTTGAATGTCTGAACCATGCATCTTGCCAGCCTGCATCTAACTTTTCTCTCTATAGTATCTTGATAATGACAGTTACATGTACCTGAAATCTGGATCATGTGTTGTTGATATTGAACTCCCAAAAGCATAATGCTGGCACAATCAAGCGAGGATCTCTTCCAATGTAGATATTCATTTGGAATATTGTATTCATTTAAAGCCGCTGTTCATGACATTTTAAAGTCATTTAAGCAAGGCCAGTTTTTGTCCTTACTCAGCTCCAGGGAATCTCATCAAAATAATAGTATGAGGTGGAAGAGGCAGACATTGAAAAACAATGATATAGTCGGACGTCATGAAACTAAACGGCGACAGCTCTTGATGATCATATAATGACAATAATAATGTCGTTTTTATTTTATAATAATTTGGCAAATAATGAACATATCAAGCTAAATTTTTCAACATTTTTTTATTTATTGTTGTTTTATTTTCCAAATAAAATTTAAAGGCACAGATTACATAGTTCCAATTTTATAGCCTCAGTCCACAAACTTTTTGATTACCCCTCGTATAAGCATTTTGTAACCTTAGCTTTATTTTTGTTTTCTTTATAATTCTTATAGACAGCAAAGAAACAGAAAAGTACTTAAAAAGCAAAGACTAATGAAAGTTTCATTTTGATATCTAAAGTTCTTGAGTTTTAACCGTGGTACAAAATGCATTTTAAAATTCACTTTCACTCAAGTTATGGATATGCAATTTGTTATTTATCAACAGGAATAAAAAAAATATCAGCAACTTTGTTTATTCTTGTAAATTACCTAAAATAATAAAAAAAAATATATACAGATGAGAACCTTTGGGTGGCAGACTGCATATCAAATATATATACCAAAAATTAAAGTTCTCAAAAGAAAAGTATTTTACAGAATTTCCTTGAATATATGCATTTGTATCTTATAGTATGACCCATCTGCCAATTTTGATTTTGATTTTGCCCTGCGACATGCGAGAAGAAAACAACATGCAACAACTTTAGATGAAAAGATAGCCAAAGCAAGAAAACAACAGAAAAAGGTGTTTTAAATTTTATTATTTCTTAAATGTTATTGTATTGAAATTTTAATTCTATAAATTAATGGTTCATTAACAGCCACTATTTTAAGTTCATTGAGATATTCTTATTGCAACAGGAAATGTAATGTTAGTTTTCAATTTTTACTTAAAGGGAGAGAAACTGGAAGAAATTATGGACAGTGATGAAGAAGATATTGAAGAGGAAGAAGATGAATCTTCAGATGAAGAAATGAGGACAGGTGTGTTGTTTTTTTCTTTGAATCTTTAATCAGAAAAGTACAGTCTATTTCATTGGTTTTGAGCATGTCACATACAGGCAGACAATTTGTGATATATTCCTTGTGTGAAGGGTGACAATTGTGTCGTCTACCTTTAGATGACATGAAATTGCACAAATTAGTGTGCAGACTGAGAGATACAAATATTTTTCCTCCCTTTAGATGACAGTAAATTAGCATAAGGGAGCATGCAGGTTGACAACTGTGTTCTTCTCTTTTGATGAAAAGAAAATGTAGTAAAAGAGACAACTCATATATATAATTGATATTAGTGGGATCATCCCACTAGGATATGTGAACAATGTATTCAGACAATAATGTTAAGTTTTCTGCTGACATATAATTTTTGAAAATACTGTAAACCAACTTTTATTTGCATGTGAGAATTTTCGTGAAGTTCACGAGAGCCTCGTCGTCGCGAATATTTCTCGCCACAAACCGGTCATTTAAGAGTATGTGTCTATTAAAACAAATCTGGAAAAGGCATGATTGCGAAAATTAATCGCGAACCAATTTATCTCTGGTAAATCGTGAAATAAAGTTGTCGCGAATAATTGTTGGTTTACAGTATAGAATCAGAGTAATAAAGGGATAAGAGAACAAAACAAGGTTTGATTCATATCTTCTTCTCTATTTTACTACATTAAGATTTTTATAGGATCATAAAACTATATTAACAGGCAGTATAGAAGAAAGACATCACATATTTATCAGAATTGAGTAGAGTTGTCACCCTTAGACACACTCAAACTGATAATTTGTGATGTCTCCTTTCTAAACAGTCCATACTTGACTATAAAGTGATAAGATAAATATACAAGTACATGTATTTCTTCCTCAATCTTTTTTCTTGTAAAGATATTGGGTAACTTCTTAAAAATATATTTTTTCAGACACAATCAAAACAAAGGAAAAGAAAAAGAAAAAAGGAAAAAAGAAAAGACCTGGCTCAGACAGTGAAGAAGTAAATATTGTTTTCTAAAAGAATTCCTGGCTTAATTTATTTTTTCAGTGCAAGTTATAAAATGAATTAAAAATCATCTAATGTCTTGCTATTAAATGCTCCTGTATTTCTCGCAAAACCATTAGATTTTGCATATGTATTCATGAAGAATGAAGTTGAGTGTTGAAATCAATTAAAATTTGAATTCTGAAATAATGATGAAATCATGATTTTTGGGAAGTTGGAATTATTTTTATGTATATTTTAAGGAAAAGGAAAAAGTGGAGTTCTCAGAAACTGTGGATTCTTATGATGAGAAATTGACATTTCAAGACATGAATATCTCGCGGCCATTAATGAAGGTTTGAATATACTTTAATTTGACATTGGGAAATTTTTTTTTTACATATGGAGAGAAATTATGGTGCTGTTTTTAAAATTTAGTTTGCACCTTAAAATACAGTGAATGTATTTGTTCTACTATTATTTTGCTAGGGTCTGGGTCAGATGAATTTTTCTAAGCCCACTCCAATCCAGGCTGCCACCATTCCAATTGCACTCCTGGGTAGAGATGTCTGTGCCTGTGCTGTCACTGGATCAGGTAAAGATGCTTTAAAAAATTAGAATTGAGAATATATTGTATCAGACACATTCAAACAATATCAGTGACATACATGTGTGTTGCATTTGAACTCTTATGAAAAAGGATTAAAAAAAATATATTCATGACTTATCAGTGGCATTTGTTGCATTATAATACAGTCTTTTAGAAGTTTGTTTTCTTTAAATCAGTAGTTTTAAGTTTAAATTAAGTGATAACTTATTGCATTTTTTTATCTCTCCAGGTAAAACAGTGGCCTTTATGCTTCCTATTCTGGAACGGTTGCTGTACCGGACACAGCAGGAGGCTGCCACCCGAGTCCTGGTTCTGGTGCCGACCCGAGAGTTAGCGGTTCAGGTTCACACAGTGGCCAGGCAGTTAGCTCAGTTCACCAACATAGAAACAGTGCTATCAGCTGGTAATAAACACACTCTCCTTTTAAGCGTACCCTTTTCTCCATTTATTCTAAGAAAATTTCGGAGGCTTTCCCCCAGCACTTACATTTTACTTCATTTCAGATAGATTTATTTGATTACCGGTATATTATTTTTCTGTAGACTTATGTAGTAATGTGATTCATTTTTCTGTGGACTAATTGCTCAGAATTGTGATTTGCAGGTGGTTTAGACATTAAAGCACAGGAGGCAGCTCTACGCATGAATCCAGATGTTGTTATTGCCACCCCTGGTAGACTGATAGACCACTTACACAACTCTCCCAACTTCTCACTGAGGAACATAGAAATTCTAGTATTAGATGAAGCTGACAGGTAGGATTTGCACAGGAAAGTAATTTACACCCATTCATGCTTGCCTTGTATATGTGTGTTCCCTATAAGATTGTTTTACTTCACTTCATATAATGTAAGAAATAGGATGGAATTCAGATTTCAATGACTGATAAATGCTTTTTAAATATTTACTGAATGTTATTTTTTTGAGACTGAGTAACCACTGACATTTATTGCTTATATTTAGACATTGATAGAAGGCTTTTCAATGAAATATGAAGTATTCTGTATAAGACTAGATACATGTACTGTTTTGTTCATCAAAGATCCAGATATAAATGTCTCTCTTTCCTCCTCAGAATGCTGGATGAGCACTTTGCGGAGCAGATGAATGAGATTATCCGTCAGTGTGCCAGATCCAGACAGACCATGTTATTCTCGGCCACCATGACAGAAGCCGTGCAGGATCTGGCCTCCGTCTCCCTGAAGCAACCAGTCAAAATCTTCGTCAACCAGAACACAGACGTGGCCCTGGGGCTCAGACAGGAGTTTATCAGGATACGACCCAACAGGGAGGGGGACAGAGAGGCCATCATAGCATGTAGGGCACCTTTATGTGTACAATGAATAAAATATTGTTTAAATTGATTAATGTGTACACAGCCAAATGTGTCTCAAGGGAATTTCATATGAATATTATGAGAAAAGAGTCATCTGTATTATAAAATTTTGCATGAATTTTATGAATTTTAAAGGACAAGTGTGAAATTCACACAATTTTTATTTTAACAAGAATTTTGCATTTGACCGTGAATACAGCATTGAATCTTTGTAAAACAAAGTAGTTAGTAACTAATATTTTAGTCAGCACAGTGTTTTCATCTGTATATTTAAAAATACATAAAATTGTTTTACAGCATTAGTCAGTCGTACCTTCAGAGACCACTGTATTGTGTTCATACAGACAAAGAAACAGGCCCACAGAATGCACATTGTTCTCGGCTTACTGGGCGTCAATGTGGGCGAACTTCATGGCAACCTGTCTCAAGCCCAGGTAAGAATTCTTTTAAAATTTAGCTGACTTTTTGGAAAAGATTAGTTTACTTTTATCAGAACTACACATAAATTTAAATCATATTCTCTGCTAAGTTTTGTGTTGAGAAACGACTCTTTTCTTTCACATTAATAATTAAATCTAAAAACAAAGTCTTTACCAATTTACCCTAGCTGATAACAGTACAGTATAGAAAACTAGAGATTTTCATTGCTATTTCAGAGGTTGGAGACATTAAAAAGGTTTAAGGAATCAGATGTAGATGTATTATTAGCCACAGACCTGGCAGCAAGAGGACTGGATATTGAAGGTGTCAAAACTGTAAGTCATTTTCTTGCTTTAAGAACAATATCATGATCTTGTCAAATAGAGTGGTGGATGTTGATTTATAATGTTACATACATTGTATATCTGATCTAAAGAGATGTTTTCCTTGTCAGGTGATAAACTTTACCATGCCCAACACCATAAAACATTACGTCCACAGAGTGGGAAGAACAGCTAGAGCAGGCCGCAAGGGGAGGTAAGTAATTCATTTGTCACAGATTGATAGCATACTTACAAAAATTGTAGTGGTAATTTTTTGTTTTGGAAAAGGAAACTACATCAGCAATGATTTTTTAATGTATTTCATTTTATTTTTAGTGTATTTTATTTTATTTTTACTCTAGATCAGTAACATTGGTCGGAGAGCAAGAGAGAAAACTGCTAAAAGAGGTTGTCAAAAAAGCCAGAACTCCACTCAAGACGAGGATCGTACCTCAAGGTATGCTCACACTATCCAGTATGCAGGATATTTAGAAATCAAGTATTGTAACATTGAAGCATTTGTTTATGAGAAATATTCTTATTTTTTGTGTCTTTATTTACTCCCAATACTGTATCTCTTGTCATAAAGCACATAAAAATTGGTGTATTTACATTTATATTTAGAATTTTTGTACATCAGCCAAAAAAATTACTTGGATTTCAAACTGGGACAAAAAGTTTTTGTGAATAATTCTTGAAATTTGTATATTGTAGTTCATTTCTATAAAGTTAAATTCTTTTAAGAATGTGAAATGCTAAAAAAAGTAGGAAAGTTCTAAAAAGAAAAATCATACATATTTAATACATAGAACATCAATCCATTTCAGAGGTGATATCAAAGTACAGAGACAAGATCAAAAAGTTGGAAAAAGACATCATAGAAATTGAGCAGCTGGAGAAAGAGGAGTCATTCATGAGGGCAACAGAAAATCAGATGAATAAAGCCAAGAACCTGCTGGAAAAGAAAAACGGAATAGACGATCAAAAAAGATCATGGTTTCAAACACACAAGGAGAGAATGCAAGAAAAGGGTAAAAATGTACTGCTCTAAAATGAATGCATTACTTTCTATGATGTCAAGCAGAGCTCAATTGTCATCTAACTGGCATCCAGTCTCAGAATTTTAAGCATCCGAATGTGTCAGTAGATGAATCCACAAAAGAAAATAGCAGTAGCAATACATCAATATCCCAGAAAATGCTCACAATGAATAATAACTTCAGAATAAAATTGCATCAATTATATCTACAATTAATTCTGGTGCAAACCACAGATTGTTGATTTTCACATGAGAAAAACGTAATAGTGTTGTGGATGAATTTCTAAAAAAGCGGTGTGTTGAATGACATGAATAACAAATCAGAAGTATAAAAATGAAAGATAAAACCCATCAGGTCATTAAATAATCACAAAATGACATTAATATAGACACCAGAAGACTAAAACAAATTCAATTTTCAAATTCATAACTAATTTTATAAAAAAAAAATCCAAGTTATAGACCTTTTTAAGTCACCTGAGTCACTCAGGTGACCTATTGATATCTGTTTTCATCCATCATGCGTCTTGTTTTTAAGAAATAAACAAGAATGTTAAAAAAGTTCTCTGGGATATGAACTTTTTAGTTGGTCACATGATCAAATCCTGTGAACCCAGAAGGGCTTCTCAGTTGATTTGATCATGTACTAACTAAAAGTTCATTTCCCAGTGAATTTTTTAACATTCTTGTTTATTACTTATATTTACTTTTGAGACGAACTCTGAATAAAACTGCATATATTACACGAACGGGCCACCGTATTGCTATGTTGTGACGCGCAATGCATTAGAAGTTGTTTGGTTAGAAAGTTCATTTTGCTTCAACATTTGAATATTTTATACAATGGTGTTCAGCAGTCCAGTTCAAGAATTCTGTGTTTATAATGTAAGAACAATGATACCCACTGAGAATAATCTTAGTATTTTTAGCTCACCTCAACAAAGTTGGGGGGAGCTTATGTGATACCCTCGGTGTCGGTGTCGGCGTCGGCGTCCCGGGTTAAGGTTAAGTTTTTTGGAGCAGTTTTCTTTTTAAGTACTTCTATGTCCTATATTGATTAGACATGCATGGAAGATGTTGCTAGTGTGTTTCATTGTACCAGTCAAAGTTTCAGATGCTGCAATTTCATCAAAGGAATGACCGGGTTAATGTTTTTGGTCCAGGTTAACATTTTTGGTGCAGTTTTTGGTGTAGGTCTCATTTCCGAGTAACTACAAGCCCTATGTTGACCAAACTTACATGGATGATACGTCTTAGGATGCATACTACCAGCCTTGCTTCAGATGCTGAATCTGACCTACATTTTCCGGTCGAGTGAACAGGTTAAAGTTTTTGGTGAAGGTTTCATATCGAAGATACTTTGAGCCCTATAATGACCAAACTTGCATGGATGGTACATCTTAGGATGTATTCTACTAGACTTGCTTCGGATGCTGAATCTGACCTACATTTTCTTGACGAGTAAACATTTTAAAGTTTATGGTGCAGGATTCATTTCCAAGTAACTTTGAGCCCTATAATGACCAAACTTGCATGGATGGTACATCTAAGGGTGCATTTTACTAGGCTGGCTGACGAGTAAACATGTTAAAGTTTATGGTGCAGGATTCATTTCCAAGTAACTTTGAGTCCTATAATGACCAAACTTGCATGGATGGTACATCTAAGGGTGCATTTTACTAGGCTGGCTTTGGATGCTGAATCTGACCAACATTTTCTAGATTAGTGGAAAGGTTAATTTTATTATACAGGTTTCATTTGCAAGTAACTTTAAGCCCTATGTTGACCAAACTTGCATGGATGATACATCTTAGGATGCACACTAATGGACTTGCTTCAGATGCTGAATTCGACATACATTTTCCAGATAATAGACCTCATAAAAGTTATGGGTGCAAGTCTATCACCAAGAAACTATAAGGCTTATATAAACCAGTTGCACAAATGATGCATCAAGGGATGAAAACTCTCAATCTTGCTTCAGATGCTGGATTTTAATTACATTTTCATGATGAAAAACTAGTTTTAAGTTTTTATATAGGTCTATTCCAAAGTATCAAAATTGCATAAATTTTGCATTTTTGGATGTACACTTTTTGTTGGTTAATTGTGTGACTTAATTTGCCTTACTTAAAGACAACACACGTTGAGGTGAGCTCTGTAGTCTCTGATTACCTATGTTTTAATATATATTTGAAATCAAAAGTGGTGATATCCCCTGTTTTAGCTAACATACCGTAACTTCAAAGGAATTCCGGGTTAAAAAGGTAAGTCCGATTTTAGGCTGTAATTATAGTATTTAAAAAATTCTTCACATCAAAAGAAGATCTTTTGAACATCTGTTGAATGAAAATATCTATATGTGTCAGTTATTTTATCTTTTTCATCGTTTTAAACTTGGTAGTTCCGAAAACAGACAGAAATATATGTAGACAAGATATCGCCGAGCGATTCGGTTGCGCTATGACTTCTGACTCCCAAATAAAGTTCACACAGAATTGAACATAGTTTCTCTTTAATAGATTCATCTAAGACAGAATAATGCAAATGTAAATACTAACATTTGAACATGTTCAGCTTCTTCTCTGAAACCACTGAACCAATTTAACCATTTTGAATTTTTTAGTCCTCACCCCCCTGGGGCCTGCAGGGTGGGGCCAAAACCACTTAAATGAATGAAATCTTTAAAAATCTTCTTCTTTACTTCAGGACATCAAGCAGTCAAACTGTTGATATGAATGTAATAAGCATTGCGTCCTCTACTAAAATTTTGAAATTCATGGCCCCAGGGTCAGGGGTTCTGGTGTTGGGTGGGGCTCTATTATAATTATATTAGTGAAAATGCATTAAATGTTTGAAAATCTTCTTCTCTGCTCCTGGGTATTAAATAAACTAACTAAACACATAGTAATGATGAGCAAGAGTACCTATTCCAAAATTTTGAATTTTATGGCCCCAGGGTCAGGGGTTCTGCTGTTAGGGCGGGGCTCTATTGATTATATAATGAAAATGCATAAAATGTTTGAAAATCTTCTTCTCTGCTGTTGGGTATCAAATAAACTAACTTAGTGTATAGTTATAATGCCTCAACTAAATTTGTAACTTTAGGTCACGGTGACCTACTTTTTAAATTTTGCCGGCATTTATTTTCAAATTGATTTGAAGGCATATTTTGGACACTTTAAGGTCTATGATCATGAAACTTAGTCAGTTGATGCATTTTGGGTCCTTAAACAATGTCAACTTAAAAGTAGGTCACTGTGACCTACTTTTTGAACTTTATGACTTTACCTTTTTAAAACATTTAATCCCATTCTTTCAGGCACTGAAAGGATTAGAATCATCAAATCTTGTAAGTTGCTGCATCTTGGGACCTTAAAACATATTTAAGAAAAAGTAGGTCACTGTGACCTACTTTTAGAATTTTGCTGGCATATGTTTTCAAATTGTGTAAAAGGCATATTTTGATTCCATTCAGACCTAAAATCATCAAACTTGGTCAGGAGATGCATCTTGGGACTCTAAAAAATGTCGACCAAAATGTAGGTCACGGTGACCTACTTTCGGCATTTTATGGCTTTATTTAAGTATCTTAGGTATTTATTGGCTTAGAATCATCAAACTTTATGAATTGATGCATCTTGGGTTTACGGAGAGTGACGACCAAAAATTAGGTCACGGTGACCTACTTTCGACATTTTATGGCTATATTTAAGTATCTCCGGTACTTATTGGCTAAGAATCATCAAACTTTGTGAGTTGATGCATCTTGGGTTTTCAAAGAGTGAGGACCAAAAATTAGGTCACGGTGACCTACTTTCGGCATTTTATGGCTATATTTAAGTATCTCTGGTACTTATTGGCTTAGAATCATCAAACTTTGTGAGTTGATGCATCTTGGGTTTTCACAGAATGTCGACCAAAAATTAGGTCACAGTGACCTACTTTCGACATTTTATGGCTATATTTAAGTAAAATCCGGTACTGACTTGGTTTTCATAAAATTTTGTCAGTTGATGCATCTTGGGTTTTCACTTTGGAATTTGAAAAAGTAGGTCAAGATGACCTACTTTTGAATATCTCAGGTATTTATTGGCTTAGAATCATCAAACTTAGTCAGCAGATGCATCTTTGGACTCTGAAAAATGTCCACTAAAATGTAGGTCATGGTGACCTACCGTATATACTCGCCTATAAGTCGGATTTTTGAGAGTTAATATCTTGTTCAAAACTCTATGTCCGACTTATAGGCGAGCTATAAAATGAATGGTATTATATGAGGTTAGTTCCTCTGAAATATAGGCTTATTAAACACACCGACTTATAGGCGGACCGACTTATAGGCGAGTATATACGGTACTTTCGACATTTTTTGACTATATTTAAGTATCTCTGGTACTTACTGGCTTAGAATCATCAAACTTTGTCTGTTGATGCATCTTGGGTTTTTAGAGAATGCCAACCAAAAATTAGGTCACGGTGACCTACTTTCTTCATTTTATGGCTATATTTAAGTATCGTAGGTATTTATTGGCTTAGAATAATCAAACTGTGTCAGTTGATGTATTTTGGGTTTTCCAAGAATGTAGACCAAGAAGTAGTCCTAATTGGCAAGAATCATCAAACTTTGTCAGGTGATGCAACTTTGGTCTTAGGATACTTAGGGTTAGAGGCTTCAAATACAAGTGATAGGTTGTACAATTTATCAGAAGAGCGATTCAAGGCCCTTGGGCCTCTTGTTAAATATATATGATCGTAGCTGATAACTATTTGTAAAATTCAACATAACACATTATGGTAAAACTCTTCAAATATACATACTAAGTAAAATATCATAGTGTAATTTTTTTTGTTATAAGTATTAACAATGGTGATTCTAGACAGTTGATTTTATGAAACAATTACAAAATGTAGTCATGACTTTTATAGAAAGTAACAAAAATTATGGTGGATATTTTCATACATTTATACACCATAAATCTTTTGTTAATGCCAGAATAATAATCACTGTAGATACTTGTACACTGTCAGTGTGTTGGTGTGACCTAGTCCCACACAGAGATTGTTCTCATCATCCACACACAAACTACGGGGAAGGATTACCCCTTGTTGTGGTGTGAGTAATAGAGACAAGAACTGACCGTCCTGATCAAGGAGGTAAACAGTGTGACTGTCAACAACACACACCAGGATGTGACCGAGGACATCAGTACAGATTCCATAGGGACCGAACAATGACTTCTGACCTTTGTAGGAGAACCTGTGTTGTCCTGATTTATTCACCACCACTACTCCTTTATAAAAGTCTGATGTACAGATATCTCCATTGATGTTTTCTGTAATGTAGTGTGGCCTATTATACAGTCCCTGTCCTTTGTTATCCTTCTGAATGTTCTGTAGTTCTTTGCCCATCTTGTTGTACCTGGTGACTTTACCTTCACCCTTCCACATCCCCACCAGTAAGTCCCCATTGATGTGGGAGGAGTGTATGCTGAGTGGTGACCAGTCTCCAGTTTTAATGAATTCAGTGATATTATTATCCTGTGTTATCCTATTTATGACTTTCTTGTTTTGGTCTGTAAAGATCAGATCTCTGTCCTGTGTGACTGTGTGGTAACCTTGATCTGTACCAGTGGTCTTTATCTTCTGTATCACATTCCCCTGTAGATCTGTTTGGACAAGATTACCATTACTGTCACTGATCCAGAGTCTGTCTGATTGATCTTGTGATACATGGTATACATTATCAACACCTGGTACATTGAACTCCCTGACCTTGGTGACAGAGGCAGATAGAGACAGTGTATGTTTCTTGTCAGATTTCTCTCTGTCTTCTTTCATCTGTTTATGTGTAGGTTTCATTGCTGTATTGTAGACACTTTCAATGGGCCTAATTTCTTTCTTCTCAGCTTTAGTGTTTGGGGTATGTATTTTACCAAGTAATTTGGTGACATCACTTTTGTTGTATTGACCAGCAGTAAATTCTGGTGTGACTGGTTTTGTTGTCTCTGGTATGGATCGGATCTTTGGTTTCTTCTCGGACATTAATTTCTGGGTTTCTGTAGAGGATAGGCATCTGTGTAGCTCTTTGACAAGGTTATTAAGATAAGTGATGTAATCATCCATGGTCTTGTCTTGGGTGTTTAGATCTTCTAACAGTGAATGCTCTATCTGGTCTAACTGCTTCACGTTCTCAGATATGACTGTGTCCACCAGACTTTTTAGGGATTCACCTTCAGACTTCATGGATGTTCTAATGATGTCTATGATATTTTTGATTTCTGAGGAATCTTTTTTAATTTCTCTCTGTAAATCTTGTGATGTGGGGAGAAAATACTCTTGGATTTTGAAGATTTCCTCTTGAAAGTCTGCATATTTTTCGGAATAAATTGTCTCTAGATCAGTGAATATATGCCCCCAGTGTTTTTGCTGTGTGGCACATTTGGAACATACTGAAACTTGGCATTCTCTACAGAGCATGTCCACATCTTTAGTGGGATGGTTCTTGCATTTCTCCACAGGAAGTTGTCGTTTGCGTTGCTGGTAAAGTACCACCTCATGGTTCTTGTTTTCTGGACTTTTCAGATGTTCCTCGCTGCATTGTTTGCAAAGTCTTTGATGACAAGGGTTGCAGTAGAGCTCACAGTTTCTTTTACATTCTTTAATGCCGCATTCTAAAAAGTGCTGGGCATTGATGGGAACATCCATTTTAGATAATGCCATCTGAAAATGATAAAATCATGAACAATGAAGGAGACATGGGAATGTGTTTTATGATACAAGAAGTAGGGATAAAATTAATACAAGGACAATGACATATTTATATCTCCATACAAGTTTTTAACATTTATTATCTTTGAAACACATGAACTCTGGCACAACAAGTATTCAAATCCCCCTCCCCCAGCATTTCTCCAATCATAAAATAATTACAATGAGCTTATTACTTACAGCTTTTATGAATGACCTTTAAATGACTTTATTTACTTACTTTGGAATGTGAGAATGAGATTTGAGGCGAGACTTTCGTTATCTGTAACAGTTGTAATTTACTTCCTGGTTGGGGATATTATTTATAGATTTAAATGTCTTGGTGGGAAAGGGAGAGGACACAAGGTCTTGTCATAATAAATAGCAATAAAAGAAGTAATACCTACTTATTTATTTTTCTCCCTCGTTTCACTCCTCCGCAAATAAATATTTTTTGACTAATTTATTGAAAAACAAAGAAACTGAACATACTTTAGGATTGCTGCATTCGTTACAAATCACTTCTTTATTCAAAACATTCAATCAAGCTCATAACTTTTACAAGATAAACAATTAATGCAAGGGTTGGAGGGCAGGGAGAGCCAAAGACACAAAACAACCTGCAATTCTTTGTAACGAACGTCGCATTAATTGAACATTCCCTGGTAAAAGTATTTATAGTGAGCGCTAAATCGCTCTTGCATGAAAAACCAGTTTCTTTAGATACAAAGTTGTAAACCACCAAGAATACCGAAGTAAAAACGTAAAGAAATAAATTTAGTAAAAATCATAAGCAGCAGGAAATGCATTGCTTATTATGCATGTATTTAAGTATTACTAAAAAATAAATTATTAAAGGTTTTTGACAAGTCTCCTATACAATGTGTTTGCAAGACAATATACATGTACTCGTATTTTATTTTTCAATTTAAAATGGTACAAGAAAGTCTTATTCTTATACATGTATCTAACGGTGTCTTCTAGCTATTCCCACTTTTTAAAAATCTCAATTCAATGTATTCCCATTTGCAAATAAAAATAGAAGTTTAAAAATTTCATCAATATCATTTATAAAAATCAGAAACCCTTTTAGTAAATTAACTTAAAAAGTAACATTAAATGCTCAGATTCTTTGTATTACACACTGATATTTAGATGATCCTTAAGTTGGGATAAGATGTAGAAATGAAATAGATTTACACAAGCAATTGATTCTCCAAAATGTATGAATTTTCGTAAATCACATTCATAAAATGGTCTAGTACTCTTAGAGAATTGTCAGCACAGTGATTTTAAAGCTAATTTAAAATAAATTGGAAAAGGGGTCGAGATTATTGTTTTAATATTAAATTATCGAAGTTTCAAAACATTATAGTTTAAACATTCTTAGAGGTAATAAATAAATTTATACTTGGTACATAAATTTTAAATCGGTACAGGTCCAATTAATAATTTTCGAAGTCCAGTAAAGCACTGCATAATTTACTACAATAACAAAAAAGGTCATTAATTGAGATATAATTATCGCGGTATGTAATTACTGTAATTTCTGTGTTTACAATGTGGAAACTTATTTATATACTGTGACTGTGTTTAAGCTTTTATTCGTCTAAGGTCGGATACTAAAATGGTTTAATGAATGACGCTTTACAATTTTGAGTTGAGAATTCTTTAACATCTCCTTTTTTGCATTTGTTTCATTTTTCCATCATTGGTCCATTTGACTGATAGTCAAATAGTCGACTATTCATTGACATCCCTAGATATAAGGAATAAATTAATTATATACGTGCCTGTAAATTGCAAGCAGTCAGAGACCTATGTACAAACCTGATGCAGCATCAGGAATCAATGCTAAAAATACACTTGTTACACCGATGACATAAGAAACTTTTTAATGTTTATATAAAGATTTCATTAAAAAAGAATTGATAATAAAAAAATTTGAAGTTGTTTAACAATAAATGATATTTGATATATACATGTATGATTGTAGCTGATAACTATTGGTAAAAATTCAACATAACACATAACACATTATGGTAAAACTGTTCAAATAATGACAAATATACAAACGAGACTCAGTAAAATACAATAAAGTAATTTTTTTTGTTACAAGTGTTTAACAAATGTGATTTCAGACAGTTGATTTTATGAAACAATTTCAAAATCTAGTCAAGACTTGTATAGAAAGTAACAAAAATTATGGTGGATATTTTCATGCATTTTTACACCATAAATGTTTTGTTAATGCCAGAATAATAATCACTGTAGATACTTGTACACTGTCAGTGTGTTGGCGCTATCTTGTCCTACATAGAGATTGTTCTCATCATCCACACACACACTACAGGGAGTGAATAGTCCTATTTGTTTTGTGAGTAATAGGGACAAGAACTGTCCATCCTGATCAAGGAGATGAACACTGTTACTTATAATGAATCCATCACACACCAGGATGTGACCGAGGACATCAGTACAGATTCCATAGGGACTGAACCTTGAATCCTGACCTGTGTAGGAGAACCTGTGTTGTCCTGATTTATTCACCACCACTACTCCTGTACGACTGTCTGATGTACAGATATCCCCATTGATGTTTTCTGTGATGTAGCGTGGATAATTATACAGTCCCTGTCCTTTATTATCCCACTGTATGTTCTGTAGTTCTTCTCCTGTCTTTTTGTACCTGGTGACTTTAGCCTCTCTTTCTGTCACCATCCCCACCAGTAAATCCCCATTGATGTGGGAGGAGTGTATGCTGAGTGGTCTCCAGCCTCCAGTTTTAATGAATGCAGTGATATTGTTATCCTGTGTTATCCTATTGATGACGTTCTTGCCTTTCAGTTTGTCTGTAAAGATCAGTTCCTTGTCCTGTGTGACTGTGTGGTAACCTTCACATCTACCAATGGTTCTTATCTTCTGTATCACATTCCCCTGTAGATCTGTTTGGACAAGATTGCCATTACTGTTACTGATCCAGAGTCTGTCTGGTTGATCTGGTGATACATGGAATACATCCCTAACACCTGGTACATTGAACTCCCTGACCTTGGTGACAGAGGCAGATAGTGACATTGTTTGTTTCTTGTCAGATTTCTTTCTGTCTTCTCTCATCTGTTTATGTGTAGGTTTCATTGCTGTATTGCAGACACTTTCAATGGGCCTTATTTCTCTCTTCTTAGCATTAGTGTTGGGGGTATGTATTTTACCAAGTAATTTGGTAACATCACTTTTGCTGTATTGACCAGCAGTAAATCCTGGTGTGACCGGTTTTGTTGTCTCTGGTATGGATCGGATCTTTGGTTTCTTCTCAGACATTAATTTCTGGGTTTCTGTGGAGGACAGGCATCTGTGGAGCTCTTTGACAAGGTTATTAAGATAAGTGATGTAATCATCCATGGTCTTGTCTTGGGTGTTTAGATCTTCTAACAGTGAATGCTCTATCTGGTCTAATTGCTTCAAGTTCTCAGATATGACTGTGTCCACCAGACTTTTCAGGGACTCACCTTCAGACTTCATGGATGTTCTAACGATGTCTATGATATTTTTGATTTCTGAGGAATCATTTTTAATTTCTCTCTGTAAATCTTGTGATGTGGGTAGAAAATACTCTTGGATTTTGAAGATTTCTTCTTGAAAGTCTGCATATTTTTCGGCATAAATTGTCTCTAGATCAGTGAATATATGCCCCCAATGTTTTTGCTGTGTGGCACATTTGGAACATACTGAAACTTGGCATTCTCTACAGAGCATGTCCACATCTTTAGTGGGATGGTTCTTGCATTTCTTCACAGGAAGTTGTCGTTTACGTTGCTGGTAAAGGACCACCTCATGGTTTTTGTTTTCTGGACTTTTCAGATGTTCCTCGCTGCATTGTTTGCACAGTCTTTGATGACAAGGGTTGCAGTAGAACTCACAGTTTCTTTCACATTCTTTAATGCCGCATTCTAAAAAGTGCTGGGCATTGATGGGAATATCCATTTTAGATAATGCCATCTGTAAATGATAAAATAATGTACAAAGAAGGAGACATGGGAATGTGTTTTATAATGCATGGAGTAGGAATATAAAATATTACTACAATAACAATGACATATTCATATCTCCATCTTTTAACATTTACATGTATTATCTTTGAAACACATGAACTCTGGCACAACAAGTATTCAAATCCCTGTACCCCAGCATTACTCCAATCATAAAATAATTAAAATGATTTTGTTACTTACAGCTTTTATGAATGACCTTTAAATGACTTTATTTACAGACTTTGGAATGTGGGAATGAGATTTGAGGCGAGATTTAAACGATATTTGTTGTAATTTACTTCCTGGTTGGAGATATTATTTATAGATTTAAATGTCTGGGTGGGAAAGTCATAATAGATAGCACTTAAAAAAGTAATGCCTTCTTATTTATGTTAGTTATGACTTCTCAAAACAGAAAAAAAAATTATAAAAGGTTTTTGACAAAAGTCTGAAATGTGATAGTGTTGCGGATGAATTTTTAAAAAAGCATTGTGTCGAATGACATGAATAACAGATCAGAAGTATAAAAATTAAAGATAAAACCCATCAGTAATCAAATTGCAATAGACGACACATGGATGTAGTCTAAATATGTATTTCATTGTTAAGTCAATTGTTCATTTTAACTGCACAGGTTTGATATGTGCTTCTGATCTTATAATTTTTTGATAACGTTTGTGATTTATTGGAGAATAATGTATGTAGCATTTCTTTGATCTCGGCAATAATCGTAGTGGAATTACCAATAATGTTCTGTCACTGTCATGTTAAATAAATTAAAGTGAACAAGCATTCTGGGAGTATTGCTTATCCCTTACCAGGGTTTCCTTTTGCTTTGGAACTTTTATTTAGTGCATACTGAACCTGATCATAATCCCAATTATGAATCAAAGTACTGAAAGCACTAATGGGTGTTGAATGTGGTGTTAAACAATATTATTATTTCAAATACAGACAACTGTTTCAGATTTTTTGAGTTGCAAAAATCTCGAGAAAGACATTCAGAGACATTAAATAGCAAAAAAATGCAGGGGCCATGTTGTTGCCTGCCTACATTAGTCTTTTTTCATACCCCTGCTTGATAAGCGGGAGGGTATATATTAATCTGGATTTCCGTCCATCTGTTTGTATATGTTTAGGTATACCAATCTCTTATCCGCAACTCCTCTTACACCACTGAATGAAATTTTCATAAAATCTTTATTACATATTACCGTTGTCCATCCTACACATATTTGGGGTTTCCCATTGCAAAAGCATGGACACTGCCATTATATTTATTATGATCATTTATATAATTCACTGCTCACAGTCCTCAAACCTGTAAGATATTTTTCCTTGGCACCTTTACCCATGTGTTATGAAAATTTCGGTTTCACAGGAATAAAATCAATGTTGATAAAATGTGGATTTTAACACAGCATCCTTTTAAGAGCTAACAGGTTTGTTATATAAAACTTCTCTGTGAATATAAATGTATTTCAATTACACGAACATTATACATGGAGTATGTCAGAACTTAATCTTTTTTAATATTGTGAAGAAAAAAGCAATACCAAGTTTAAAACAAATATTTAATGACCAAACATAAAAACAGTGGTATATGTGAGAGTTTGTTATCTGGTATGTAAATGAGGTTTTCCTTTTAATAAAAAAAATTCTTTTTGTTGTTTTTTTCGTAAAATGATTTTACGAAAACATCAGTGTCCCTTTTTTGGTTTTAACATTTATAACAGAGTACTAGATTGGCAGGTTTAACAGAGTACTAGATTGACAGGTTATACTGTCGATTTAGTAATAAATACGCATGTTTCCTAAAGTTTTTATGTGTTAATAAATTCATTGATACCAAGAAAATGTTCATGAAAAGTTTGAATAAGTTCATTGCACTGGTAAAAAAGAAATTGCTTAAAAATCTGTGACCGACAAGTGTCGGGACGACCACCTTTATCCGTTAATATGTAGAGTTGTCGATCTCATCTTTTTCAGTGTATGACGCCACACAAAAAAATTAGTTCCATTACGAAAAACTTTTGAGGTTCTTTATTATTTAGTTTTACTTTGAACAAAATATAATATTCAAAATAAGATTACATTATCATTATTACATTTACTTACATTTCAAATTATGAAAATTAGATCAATTCAGGAGAAAATGACATGAACTATTTGCGGCGGATGTTTATGCATGTTTTCTGTTGGATATCATCTGGGTAAATCAGCCGACACATTAGCCTTGCTTTCGGCTCTATATAATCAACAAAAGTTACTGCGCATGTTAAATACGTGATGACCATGGGAGATTGAACATAGTTCAACTCCCAAAAATCAGAAAATCAATGAAGTGGAATGAAATTCACATTTTTTCTGTAACTCATCAAGGTACACTCACATACCCAAAATCAGCTATATATCTGCAAGCGTTTAGAAAAAAAGTGCAGAAAACCAAGTAGGACAGACTGACAGACAGACATTGGGACAGCTAGACGAACGGACAGACGAATGGATGGACAGACTCAGAGGAAACCTATAGTACCGTCTGGTTTCACTGGTAGGGGACTAATAATAGGTAATACATGTAATAGATAAAGACAACAGGATAATGCTTTTTTAATACAAATCCGAAAACAATTTTTTTGAAATTTATGCAGTTGCTTAGTTTGTGGCTTGATACGATTTGGGGAACTAAGTTAGTTTGGGGTTTTGGCCATTTTTAGAGTAAATTGATCTCCTATGAGAAAAAGCTTTATATGATGATATACCTGGTATAAAAAGGATCAAATTTTAAATCTAAAATGTATGAAATTTTTCTTTGCCAATTGATGGTTGACAGCTTAAGGTACATATATCACATCTAAAAATTTAAGTTAAATCTGTTGGTTAATTTGTTGATCCCCCAGCTTCCTTTTAAAATATATCAATCACAACAGCTAATTGACA